TGACATGCCCAAGCCCTAAAACTGAATGGCAGGCCAGGTCGTTCCTGGGCTTAGCAGGGTACTATTGAGACTTTGTCCCCAGGTTTTCCACCACAACATTCCCCCAATGGACCTCCTGAAGAACAAGGGCCCCTGAAAGGCCCAGTGGACATCAGCTTGTGCAGACACATTTGGCCCAGTCAAACGCATCGTGTGCGGAGCCTGGGTTTTACTAAAGAATCCATACTACAAACAAACGCCTCTCGGGGCGGTCCTACAGCAGGGGGCAGAGGGTGGAGAACACCCCGTCCCATATCTCAGACGGAAACGTCTCCCCCAGGAACAGAACGCTGGCATGACGGGAAAGGCATGAGGTGCAGTTAGGTGGGCAGTGGAATCATTTCCTGGGAGAGCCTTTGCCCCTGTCACGGACCATGGCTGCAAGCTATGAAAGACAACTCCAGGCTCGGATGCGGGTGCCCCATCTATCTCTGCAGCTGTTTTCTTTTGTGGTGCACCAAGGGTCTGGGGCAGGTCATGGAAAGACCGAGTGTCGATTCCGCAGATTGCCCTCTGCTACGCTCTCGAGGGGTCTGAGCATGACCGGGTACAAAGGTGCTCCCTGGCCCAGACCCGAAGGGGTTAACGCAGCAGCTCTTTAACCCTGACCTATTAGAGGGAGCAGGGCTGGGGGTGGGCTGGAGCCCTGCCCCCGGGTCTGTGTGTGGAGACTGTTGGTTGCTGTTGTCTTTGTTTTACTGTGGTTGGTTTTGTTGTGTGTGGACTCAGTTCTCCGACAGGCGGCCCTGGGAAGGCGTGTTTCTCACCTTGGGCAAAGCTGAAGTTGCTGCTTTGGGCTGGGATTTCCAATGAGCCCAAGGGAATTAGGCACTCCAATCCCACTGAAATCCACTGGGCATGTAACTCCCTTAGGCGCCTTTGGAAATCGCAGCCTTGAATCTCAAAGTGTGCCCACACCATGCTAACCTGGCAGACATACCCCTCCCCACTCCAAACTCATCCCCTCCTCAGTAACTGTGTCTGCGTCCTCTCCTCCAAACTCTTCTCCAGCCTCATTTCACACCTCAGCTAAAGACATCTGGGCCCCATGGACTTCTCCCTCTGCTCTCCTGGTCCCGGGCTGTGTTTCTTGCTGTTAGGGAGACAGGTTGCAGGGATATCTCTCCACACGCAAAGCTGTCCTGCAATGCACCCCCTGCTCCCTGCCAAAGCTGCCTCGCCTGGACCGGTTCTGCTCCCCCTCTTCCCTCCCTGACACTGCTTAGGACCCAGGGGCCACCCAGCACAATGGAAGCTTCCGAAAACTGAATGCACAAGGGAAAGTGGCATCTCTACAGCAAGGGAAATGGTATTGTAGCATCCGGTCTGCCAGAGCAGAGTATGTGTATGCTGAGGAGTGACCAGGAATGTATGTGTGTGTGAGA